TATTAATAACCATAAAAAAAGCAATTGAAGTTGAGTGGTAAATTTGAAAGTTAGATTGCAAGGGCTTAAGAAGTGAATGGGAAGTTAGGGTTGTGGTTTGTCCTTCATTCTCGAAGAGGATGACATCAGGAAAGTGGTGCCATGACTTAAAAGTGAATTGGATTACAGTGAGGGAGGGCTGTGCGAAGTCACCAGCCTCACTTTCTCCTCCAAAGCCATCTGGGTCCAGTAGCCAGATATAGATCATCACAACTGGAGATGGCCCAGGATGTAGTGGGAGACCTTGGACCATTCAGTGATTAGGGCTATTTAAGAAATAAGCCAAAGGATGGCCTCTTTAATTTAAAAAAAAATAATCAAACTGGGAGGGGGACACTCTTAGGGTTGTTTCTGGCCAAAAAAGAAATAGTTGCTATTTATATTCACTCTGACCAATCAGGCCCCCCCCCACAACAACAACAAAAAACATTAATTGAGGGGCAGCTAGGTCACTCAGTGGATAGAGCACTGTCCTAGAGTCAGGAGGAGCTGAGTTTAAATCTGGCCTCAGACACTTGACACTTACCAGCTGTGTGACCCTGGGCAATTCATTTAACTCCATTGCCTAGCCAAAAAGCAAACAAACAAACAAACAAACAAACAAACAAAACATTAAGTGGTGCTTGGCCATGGACCTATTGGCCAACTGGAACTGGCCAGTTGGGTCCCCATTGGGCAGCTCAGACAACTCAAAGTTTTGTGGTTTGTCTTCATTCTCAAAGAGGACTTGATATCAGAGAGGAGTCAAGGAATATAGATAACTTTTCTTTTAGGAGTTTGGCAGTAAAATTTTGTCTCTTCAATTTGTTACCTTCACCCCTGTGAGGGTGAGGACCATTTTCTAATTTTCCTACATCTTCTATAGCACCCAACTCAGTATTGAGCACATAGTAAAAGATCTCACTTAATATTCATAGATTTATTTGGATTATATTCTCTTTTATTGGTCATCAATGCTATATATTTTCTGAGTTTAATTGAGTATTATGGGAAAGTCAATTTGGCTTTGATAAACTAGGCTAAGTTCAGTTAAGACTCAAATTTCAGGGACATTAATCTATTTATTGTTTAAAAGGAGCAGGGGGAGGGGCGGAGCCAAGATGGTAGAGTAAAAGCAGTGACTTGTTTTGAGCTCTCCCCTAAACCTCTACACATACCTGTTAAAAATAGTCCTAAACAAATTCTAGAGCAGCAGAAAACACAAAAAGAGTGAAACAAATTTCCAGCACAAGACAACCTGGATGGATGATTGGAAAGGTCAATCACACTGGGCTGGGAGAGGAGCACAGTCAGTGTGGGCCCCACAATCAAAGACAAGGCCTCAATAAACCTGGAGCGGGCCTCAGGGGATTGAATCATGTGTAGCTGTGGTGGTTTCCAGACTTCTCAACCCAGGAACACCTATGACAATGTAGAATGTCAGTAGGAAAGGTATGTCAGACCTTGGTGAGAGAGGAGCTTGGTCTGACCCCAGTCCTGGTACAGCCCCAGGGCATTGGCTGCTTCCAGAGTTCTCAGTCACACATGGAGGGGGAATTGAGTGGCTGATCAGAGAGGGACTGCAGAGATCTCTTTCCTGGTGCTGAGGCAGGAATATCTTGTTTGCCTGTGCTTGGTTCTGTGTCACACCTCTGGGTGGTAGTCCTGGGGTGAGGAGTGTTGGTGTGGTGGAGATTGTGGTGGCTCTTGTGGTGGCAGTACAGAGAGAATCCTCTTGACAGTTCCAAGGCAGAAAAGAATGCTTGTGGTCAATCATAAACCATAGCACAACCCAGCAAAGGAGTAAACATCTCACCTTTGATCATATCACCAATTTACACATCCCTGGAAATATCTCTAAAAAAAACTGTACAAAACCCCTGAAGCTTGTGACAGCATATTTTCCACACTGGAAGCAGACCCCTACCTTAACAAAGAGTTTAAAACTCAAGTAATTGTCTGGGATCATGGGCAATCAGCTCAAAAAAAATAAGACCACAGAATCTTACTTTGATGACAAAGAAGATCAAAATGTACAAGCAGAAGAAGCCAACAAAGTCAAAGCTCCTACATCCAAAGCCTCCAAGAAAAATATGAATTGGTCTCAGGCCATGGAAGTACTCATGAAGGATTTTGAAAAGCAAGTAAGAAGAGTACAGGAAAAATTGGGAAGAAAAATGAGAATGATGCAAGAAAATCATGAAAAACAAGTCAACACATTGCTAAAGGAGACACCAAAAATACTGAAGAAAATAACACCTTAAAAAATAGTCTAACTCAAATGGCAAAAGAGGTCAAAAATACAATGAGCAGAAGAATGCCTTAAAAAGCAGAATTGGCCAAATGGAATAGGAAGTCCAAAAGCTTACTGAAGAAAATACTTCCTTAAAAATTGGAATGGAGCAAATGGAAGGTAATGACCTTATGAGAAATCAAGAAATTGTAAAACAAAACCAAAAGAATGAAAAAAAATAGAAAACAATGAAAAATATTTCATTGGAAAAACAACTGACCCAGAAAATAGATCCAGGAGAATTTAAAAATTATTGGACTACCTAAAAGACATGATGAAAAAAATAGATTGGATATTATCTTTCAAGAAATTATCAAGTTAAAACTGCCCTGATGTTCTAGAACCAGACAGCAAAATAGAAATTGAAAGAATCCACCAATCTCCTCCTGAAAGAGATCCCCAAAGGAAAACTCCTAGGAATATTGTAGCCAAATTCCAGAGTTCCCAGGTCAAGGAGAAAACATTTCAAGCTGCCAGAAAGAAACAATTCAAGTATTGTGGAAACACAATCAGGATAATAGAAGATTCAGCAGCTTCTGCATTAAGGGACCAGGGGGTTTGGAATATGATATTGCAGAGGGCAAAATAAAACCAAGAATCACCTGCCCAACAAAACTGAGTGTAATCCTTCAGGGGAAAAATGGACGTTCAGTGAAATAGAGGACTTTAAATCAGTTCTGATTAAAAGACCAGAGCCAAATAGAAAATTTGACTTTCAAATACAAGAGAAGCATGAGAAAAGGTAAAGAGGAAAAAGAAATCTTAAAGGACTTGTTAAAGTTGAACTGTTTACATTCTGACATGGAACAATATTTGTAACTCATGAGAATTTTGTCAGTATTAGGGTACTTGGAGGGAAAAATATGAGGATAGATAGATAGATAGATAGATAGATAGATAGATAGATAGATAGATAGATAGATGGCACAGGGTGAGTTGAAGATGAAGGAGCAATATCTAAATATAAAATTAAGGGGTGAGAGAGAATTAAACTGGGAGAAGGAGAAAGGGAGATGTAGACTGGGGAAAATTATCTCACAAGAAAAAGCTTTTACAGGGGAGGGGAAGTAGGGGAAGGTGAGACAGAATGAGTTAATCTTATTCTCATTTCATTTGGCTTAAGGAGGGAATAACATACACACTCAATTGGGAAGGAAATCTATCTTGTTTTACAGGAAAATGGGGTGAAGCGGATAAGTGAGTAGGGAGATAATAAAAGGGACGGCAGATTGGGGGAGGGAGTAATCAGAAGCAAACACTTCTGAGGAGGGAAAGGATCAAAAGAGAGAATAGAATAAATGGGGGGGATAGGATGAAGGGAAATATAGTTAATCTTTTACAATGGAAGTGTTTTGCATGACTACACATGTTTAACCTGTATCGAGTTGCTTGCCATCTCAATGAGGCTGGATAGGAAGGGAGGAAGGGAGAGAATTTGGAACCCAAAGCTTTAAAAACAAATGTTAAAATTGTTTTTACATGCAACTGGGAAATAAGATATACAGGCAATGGGGTATAGAAATCTATCCTGCCCTAAGGAATAGAAGAGGAAGGGGATAAGAGAAGGGGAGAGGTGATAGAAGGGTGGGTAGATTAGGGGAAGGGATATTCAGAATGCATGCAGTCTTGGGTTGGGAAGAAGGGCAAGATGGGGAGAAAATTTGGAGCTCAAAACCTTGTGGAAATGAATGTTGAAACCAAAAAAAAAATTAATTAACATAAAAAGTAAAATAAAAAATAAAAAGGAACTTAGAAGTCATTTTATAGATGTTAAAATGTCAGTCCAGTTAAGCATCTAGCCCAGTACTACACAGTACTTGCCAGAGCCAAGATTGAACCCAGTCTTTTGACTCCAAACCTAATGCTTGTTCCACTCTTCAAAAAGATCTGTATTTTGTATATATGAAGAAACTGAGGACCAGAAACATTAAATGACTTGGAGGAAGGCATATAGGCAATAAGTAGAAGTGATGGGAATTAAATTCAGGTCTTATTCTAATTCCAATGTTCCTTCCAGCACAACAAATATTATTCAGCTAAAAATTGGAAATTTTTTCAAGTTAAAGTTATTCAAGTGAAAAACGATTTAGGGATACTTCATATAAATGTGAGGAAAAATGCAGAATTTCATACAATACAGAGGAGGAAGTTGTTGAGAGACTGGAAGAAAAAGCCAACAATGTTAAACATAATTTACAATTACTTAACTGCCTTATCTTTTGTCTTGTAAGAATACAAATAATAATTAAGACAGCAGGCAGACAGGCAGAACAAGATCTCTCATGAGTATCTACAATTTTAACAACACATTAAGAAGAAGTTTGTTAAAGCATTAATTTTCTTAACTGGACTACTCCTTCATGAATAATGACCTTGAAAATTAATTTGAATGCTGATTTAAATAGAAATGATCTGCTAAATAGAAATTAGTGAAAGCTCTTCTCTTCAAGTAATTCTCCTGAAAAGCAAAGAAATCAATAACCTGCCTACTAAGTTTGATGCGATTTTGACAATTACATTTAATGGTGAAGTTGTTTCACAAATTCTGCTCCAACCTAAAAGACTTTTAAAAATTGAAATATGTGCCAAATACATAATAATTAGAGCCGAATCTACAAGTGTAGAAATAGCATTGCAAAGTAGAAAGAACATTGACTGAGGAGTCGTAGTACCTGGGTTCACATCTTACCTCTCTGTTGCCACCACTCCAGTGTAGGCTCACATCAACTCAGACCTGGACTGTTGTAATAGCCTTCTGGTTTTCTCATTTCTCCTTCACTCCTTCATTCTTCTCTGGGTCCTATTTCTGACTCTGGATTTTATTTCCTTATTGGGCTGAAGTAGCCTTCTTACCCTGAGGCTTCATCTTGAGACCTTCTAACCAAAGAAAATTACTCCACCCCTGTGGCCTCATCCTCTGAGCTTTCACTTGGAATCTCCATTGTAAGGAAATACTCAGGCCACCTATGTTCATGCCTTCATTCTCTCCCAGTGTCTGCTTCTCCTTCTACAGACTTTTTTTTCCCTATTGACTCTCCCTCCCGTCTCCAGCTTTATTTAATAAGTTATCTTCCTCTATTTAAATGCAAGCTCTCTGATTGCAGGAACTGTCTTTCTTTTTGTTTGTATTTCTATTCCCAGCTCTTAGCAAAGTTCCTGGTACATAGTAAATAAATGTTCGTTGAATTATTGGTTGATCTCCCTGACTGAATTTTCCCCTACTCCAGTTACTCAGCTACCAAAATGATCTTTTATAGAATAAATCTGATCATATTAAATCTACCACCCTGCCCCATCCCTCTACTTTTCTGACCCTCTTTTTAATAAGCTTCAGTGGCAACTTCTAGAATCAAATATAAAATCCTCCATTTGGCTTACAAAGGCCTCCAAAACCTGACCCCTCCTACCTCTCCAGTTTTCTTAAACTTTAATTCCCCTCCACATGCTCTGTGATCAGTGACACTGGGCCACTTACTTTGCCTCCCACAAGCCATTATTGCTGTTCAATCTTTTTTTCAGTCATTTTTGACTCTTTGTGACCCCATTTGTGGTTGTTTTAGCAAAGGTAATAGAGTGGTTTGTCATTTCCTTTCCAGCTCATTTTGCAGAGGAGGAACTGAGGCAAACAAGGTTAACTGAACTTGCCCAGGATCACATAGTTATTAAGTGCCTGAGGCCAGTTTTGAGGTCAGGAAGATGAGTCTTCCTGACTCCAGGTGTGGCACACTATCTACTATGCCACCTAGCTGCCCTTCCACAAGATGTTACATCTCAATTCAGGAATTTTTACTGATTGTCCCAATGCCTGGAATTCTCTCCCTCTTAATTTTTACCTCCTGGCAACCCTGGTTCTGGTTTCCTTCAAACATCAGCTAAAATCCCAAAAGATTTTCTCAATCCCCTTCAAGGCTTGTGAAATCCCTCTAAGATTACCTCCATTTTATCCCATATATATCTTGTTTTTACAGTTGTAAAGATAATTAAAATTATATACTAACAAAACTGTGAATTTAAATTAAATGCCTATTACCTCCAAAAGATAAAATCCAAATAAAGAACGCATAAAATTGATATCTTAAACAATCTAATGTTAAAATCGTAAGAAAAGAACTAACAAAGGAACAAAAATAAAACTAATAAAATTATTATTCCACAAAGATTTATAGCTGAATTTCATCAAACATTTAAAGAGTAATTAATGCCGATATTCTACAAATTATTCTCAATGACTGACAAAGAAAGCACCCTATAAAACTTATTTTATGAAATAAATATGCAATACATTGCAATACCATGAACATTTATTTAGCAACTTCTGTGTGCCAGACTCTGTTCTGAGAACTGGAGACATAAATAAGAAAAAAGAAAATAGTCCTTGCCCTCAAGTTGCTTACAATCTAATGAGGGGAATACACAGAAGGAAGCTTAAAAGAGAGGAGGGGAGACAAATGGGAACATAAGTGGTGGAGTGCATGAAGCTCAGAGGAGATGAATCCATGCAGCTGATAGAAAATGGAGAGATACCTGGAAAGCCTAAACCTCTATAAAGGAAAGTATTGGATTCATTTGTTGCTCTTCCCTCTAGTCCTCCAATCTGAAGGGAGAGACAACAGTAAATATGATCCTAATATCTATACATGGACAAATAAAATAGAAAAAAAAATAATTTTAGAACATTATTATTAAAGAATATTGATTCAAAAATTAAATAAAATTTTAGCACCAATATTAGTGTAGCCATTATGCACAATAATTATTCATTGATCAAGTTGAATTTTTACCAGGTTTCTCAAGATAGTTCAACATTCTGAAAACAATTAATTATATTAAAATGAAAAAGTACAATGCTATATGATTATATTAGTAGATACATAAAATACTTTGATAAAATAGTACTCAGTTATAAGGAAAACTCTATCAAGAAGAGGCAAAGAAGGGCCATTTTAGCATGATAAAACATATTTTTCAAAGTCAGTATTATTCACAATTGATAAATTAGAAGCTATCTCAATAAACAGAAGATTAAAGTGATGGTCCTCCTGTCCCCTATTATTTGACATCTTTCTAGAAAAGTTATTGGCAGTATTAATGAAAGAGAAAGAAATACAAGGCAGAAATATTGGCAGAGGAGACAAAATAATTCTATTTGCAGATGACACAATTTCATTAGAAAACCTCAGAGAACCAGTAATTGAACTAATTAGGACAATATCTTCAGTAACATAGTAAAATACAAAAGAAATAGACTGTCAACATTTCTATGTAGCAATAACATAAATCAGGAAGAAGTGAGAGAAATCTCATTCAAACAAAATTCAAAATGCATAAATAACTGGGACACAAATTGCCAAGACATTCAATATTTCATAAATGCAACTTCATAATAGTATAGCACTAAAAGAAGACAAATATTTGGAGAAATCTTCGTTGCTCATCGTATGCCACACTTATATGATAAAAATTCATTTACAAATTGAGTGATATGCCAATCAAGCTACCAAGAGGTTGGGTACTTCAGAATGTTAAATAAAATGAAGAACAACTTTATCTGGAGATGAAAAAGCTGTAAATGATCAAGGGAAATAAAAGGGGGGAAAGTAGGATTGAAAGGACAATTAAGCTTCCAAACATAAAATTATATTATAAATCAATATTTGGTGCTAGTTAAAAAAATGATAACATTAACTACATAAGAAGGAGCTGAATTCAGCAAGCAAGTATTTGTTCAAAGTAAGAAAATAAAATTCTTGGGAACATTGTAACAATTCTGAGAAAACTAAAAAGATGTTTATCAATAAAGGAGTGTAACTTACCATCTTCTGTCATACAACACAGTAATTTCTGAATGAATATATAATCTAATTATAGAAGGTTATGTAAAAAAAAGTCAGAGGAAAATTGAGGTCCCTCTCACACTTGTGTAGGAGAAAAATGCTTAATCAAAAAAAATTGACACAGTGGATCAGAAAAGAGAAAATATGTCCTAATTTCTATTAAATAAAAATAAAAATAAAAGATTTTGCATGAACAAAATCTATACAAGAAGAATAAGAATGGAAGCTCTTACTTTTTTAAATTGCATCATATATCTTATAAAAGTCTGATACCCAAGATAAAGAATTTAACACAAATATATATGATTAAAAGTCAAATGGTAAGTGGTCAGAGATTATGAGAAATATTTCCAAAGGGAATTACAATTAACAATAATATCAATTATTTCTCCATATGAAATCTAAATTATAACAATGAATTTTATCTTACACCAAGCATTTTGGTAAAGATGACAGAAGATAAAGTAGTCAATGTTGGAGGAGTGCTGGGAGGGCAGATATACCAATACCCTATTAATAGAGTTGTAAATCTAATCATTCTGGTAAAGAATTTGGAATTCTTTATAAAAAATATATAAAATATCCATGTCCTTTGATGGAGAAATTGTTCTATTAGACATATACCTCAAGGAAGTTAAGGGTAAAAATGAAGGCTTCGTATGTAGCAAAATAATCATAGTAGCATCTTTGGAGGTAACAAAGAAATGGAATCAAAGATGTTGCCTATTAATTATGGAATGGCTAAACAAAGTGTCTTATGTGTGTGTGATAGAACATCATTTCACCATTTACTCTAGAAAAAATATGGGAAGTTTTTGATGAACCAACACAGAGTGAAAAAAAAATGGGATCAAGAAAACAATATACATGGTGTCTTCGATAATTTAAACAAACTGAATAATAGAGTGAAACTCATTACCATGTAATCATAATGAACAAGACTGACCTGACCCAAGAGAAGAAATGAATAATATACTTCCCTCCTTGGAAAGATAGGAGACTATGGATGGTATATGTTGTATACACTATCAGAAGTAGTAAGAAGGTCAATTGGTTTTGTTTAACTTTTATTTTTCTTCTTTGTCATAAGGGAAAATTCATTGGGTAGGGGAAGGGTATATTCATAAATGACTGTTATGTAAAAACATAGGGCAGAAATGAAACTCACAAAGAATAAATTATTGATTAAGCACCTTTAGTTCAGAGATTCCATGAAATGAGAATAGATATTGAAAAAAGGAAAATTAGCTCCAATAATATTTTCTGAAAATCATTTTTAAGAAAGTTAATATTTCTTCATTAAAAAAACTTTTTAAAAATCCTGTATATCATGGTGCTTATTTATTTTTCAACTTGTTCAGTGTTAGCATAAACTATTATCTTTCAACAAATACAGTCCGCTTGAATAATATTGTGGTTCCCAACATGGTACCCTAGTAATTTGAATTGCATACAAAACAAGCAACTAATTACAGAACATGATTAATAATGCGGGAATGTCTCTACTATTAAAATTATATGTTATCATAAAATTTCATGGAACACATGTCAATATAGCAAGGGATAGATGTGTGTATGTGTGTAAATTTGCACTCATAAAATTAAATTCAGTGGATTTACTAGGCTAAATTCAGTAGATGCACTACACATTCCAGGGAGAAGGAATAACATGTTTATAAAAGGCTAGAACCTGTTCTCATCATTTCTTAATCTCACAAGTGACAGTTAGCCTGAGTTTATATCTACAATTATAAATATGTCATTTGATGGCAGGATCTGATTGCATGATCCATGCTAGCTATCTGAGAGGAGATAACTGTAGAGCAAGAGCTCTATGATTTTATAACTGAGGTAATTCCAAAGATTCTATCTTCCTGGAGATTGCCCTTTTGTGATATATATAAGCTATCTCCCTCAAATTGTTTTGTGTATGAGGTTTCATGTGTTTGGGTCAACCCATTTGGGACAGGTCCAGTAGTGAGACATCTCATTTCTGTTAATCCAAGAGAGTAAGAATTATTGTGTCACCTGCTAAATTTCATCTTTGGGTAGGTAGCAAGAAAGAGCCATAGAAACAAACTGAGTTAGATAGATTACTAGGAATGTCAACCAATGATTAAAACATATCTCTGAGTAGGGTAACACAAGGCTTTTATTTGGGATGATACCCAGGAAAGATGATACCCCCTTATTGCTATATATCCACAGTCAACTACAGTGGGAGAGTAAAATAAACCTCATAGATAAGAG